TTTGTAGAAAAAGGGTCGACACAACAGTTTAAGCGCAATTAATCAAAGATAAATTAATACGAGATAAGTCATGATTCACGTGTAAATGCCACAAAATCATTTGAAGAAAATAATTTGAATAAGATATCACATATCACATAAGGATAACTCACACACAAGAGTCTTTTAGCGCCTTCCTTATGTAACCCTTTTATTCTCAAATAATTGTAATGAAAAAAATCACGAAGGGAACTCCACTAGGCCTTAATTAGGGTCCGCTTGACCCGGCTTTCCAACCTTATTACTTTTTATGACACGTCACATAGTTACACATAACAAACATAGGGTCACAACCCTCAAGAAAAACTCCACAATATGTATATAGGGTTCGAAGTCCAAATGTACACGTAAGTCAATTTGTTTATTAGTTTGCGAATGGCGCCAAACGGACCACAACCCTCTAGTCTCCAATATAACATACCAAGAAGGGATTGTACGCAATCCATCCTTCCAGCACGGATGACGGTCTAAAGACCTTTTTATCGTGAATGACGGGCACTTCAGAATCACTCAAAAGGAGAACCCGCCGTCTCGATCCCTCGACCTAATCCATTCGGGTTCTAATTCGAAGTTATCTAGTTATCCTAAAATATCGGTATACCTTCACGTGTTTGCAAGATACAGAGGTTGAAGGCTATGCCTTATCATCCAAACAATCGACGAGTTGATCGGACTCGACGGGTAGTTTCAAATACCAATTTGACTCAATACTCGCATGTTATTAGACCGGTATTTTAGGATAACTAGCTAGCTTCGAACTAGAATTCGAATGGCTAGGTCGATGGATCGAGATGGCGGGTTCTCTTTTTGGGTGATTCCGAGGTGCCCGTCATTCACGATGAAAAGGTCTTTAGACCCTCATCCGTGATGGAGGGATGGATTGCGTACAATCCCCTCTTGGTATGTTATATTGGAGACTAGAGGGTTGTGGGCCGTTTAACGCCATTCGCGAACTAATAAATAAATTCACTTACGTGTACTTTGGACTTCGAACCATTAGATACACATTGTAGAGCTTTTTTTGAAGGTTGTGACTCTATGCTTGTTATGTGTAACTATGTGACATGTCATACGAAGTAATAAGGTTGGGAAACCGGGTCGAGCCGACCCTAATTAAGGTTTAGTGGAATTTTCTTCGTGATGTGCTCATCACCATTATTTGAAAATAAAAAGGAGATATAAGGAAGACGCTAAAAGACTCGTCAGTTATCCTTATGTGTCATCTTATTCAAATTATCTTCTTCAAATGATTTTGTGGCATTATACCGTATTAATTTATCTTCGATTAATTGCACTTGCTCAACCGTTCTGTTGACTCTCTTCTTACAACCTTTTTGTAGGTGATGGTGTTTCTGTTATACCTAAATGATGCATCCACGTCATATCATCCATCGGGAGGAACTATAACTACTTTATTTTCTAAAATGCTTTTGAAATTCATTAATTATGTTTAAGAACTAATGCCTTTTGAACTATTTCCAATTTATGTTTTTGACTCGAACTTTACTTATTTAATTGATAAGTCGGTGCGCTTTAATTCTAAATCCCTATTTAGTTGTTTATATTTATTATTTTAGCCTTTGCCCCACAATGTAGGGCTAGTTGATTAATTAACGAATCTTCCGATGTGGCGTGACAGTGATGCTCTGGTTTGAGCCGGCCGGGTGTTACAGTCTTACCACCGGGAACAGATGAACAAACGAAGGTGTTCAAAAGGTTTTTCCAGATGTATCTTCATTGTTTTTCTTCCGAGTAGCCGCATAAATGGGTGGGATGCTTTCCTTGGATTGGATGCCTATAGAACACAGCTCACTAGGGTGCTTTAAAGATCACTCCCTTCGAGGTGGTGTACGGGTGACCACCCGCAGGGCTTTAATGCTTTCTTCTGAAGGAATGCCAAATGAATTTAGTGACGGAAATTTTGGGAGGACGATATTGTATGCTACGAGTTTTTGCTTTATCATTTATCCCGAGCACATAATACATGGTGAAGCAAGCTAATAAGCATCGCTAGGATGTGGCTTTTTTTATGGGGGACAAGGTATTTTTAAGGTCCGACCTATAGGCAGCTTTCAGTTCAAGCGGACCGAAGTTCACACAAGTTATCCCCAAAGCTTTAAGGTCAATTTGAGATGTAAAAGAGGATTGGCAAAGTGGCATAAGGTCTATGGCTGCCACCACACAACCGTGTGCACCCGGTTTTTCATGTGTCATTGTTGAAGTGAGTTGTGGGAGATCATTCGATTGATGGGGAACTTCCGGACAGCTTGGAGCCTTGCAGAATACCATTATTCACACCAAGCGAGAATTTAGCTAAGCGATAGATCCAAATGGGGAGCTGAAGGTTCTTGTTTGGTGGCACGGTTTAGCGAAAGAATATGCGACGTGGCTCACTCGGGAGGATTTCTAACAACAATTTCTAGCTTTCTGCATTGGGGACAAGGCGCCTTTCACGGGGAGGCAATTGATACCCACGAATTTTGGCAATGCCGGGAGGATTGACCGCCAATGGTTTACTCATGACGGATCCGAAGGGAAGCAACCCACTTTGGGTTGATAGTAGAACTTTAATTATCTGAGTATTTTGAATTATATTTATTTCTACTTGAGTCTAATAATAAGATTATTGGGCACAAGAGCCCAATAAAAAATCTTTAAATATGTTAGAGTTATAAGTCTTAAGAGTCATCTAGGATTTTGGGAATACACCTTTTGGTTGGGATGAAAGACATTCTGTTGTTTGCTATTTTCTTTATTAAATAAAGATTCATATTTTTACTACGTATCAATATGAGATTAACTCCTTGAGCCCTCACTCCTTGAACCTATTCCTGAAACAGTTTATATGGATTTCCTTTTTCCTAGTCCGCCAATCTTTGAGTCTAGCGAACCTTGCTTTTCAATTCTAACCCTTTAGAGAACAACCCAAAAGCCAAGGAAATTCAGGTTTATACTAGGAGAAATAAACTCTATTAGCAACTTTAGCCTTAAACCCATTTTCAGCCGGAACTGGAACAATTTCAGCATAGTCAAGCTCATATCTCGATTACAAACTTTGAATAAAATATATAGGGTAAGGCAGATATTTTACAAAGTTCTTCCTATGATCAAGTTGCAGATTCTTTTCTAGATTTAGATATGCCTATAACGATGACAAAAGATGTCATGGTACACCCTAATCACAAGCAACTGTCTTATGCCAAGCTATCTCCCAACTTCAAAGCATTTGCGCCCATGATTGACAAGATTCAAATTTCCTCATCAATTCATGAAGCTCTCAAAATACCAGAATGGAGATCTACTACGTTGGAAGAAATTAGAACCATTGAAAAAAATAGAATGTGGACTATGACATCACTTTCTCCTAATAAATGCACAGTGGGATGTAAATGGATTTTCTCTGTCAACTACGAAGCAGATGGAAGTGTTGAAAGATTCAAAGCTGGATTAGTAGCAAAGTGGTTCACTCAGTCACATGGGATTGATTATCCCGAGACATTCGCTCCAGTTGCAAAATTAAACACGGTTAGGGTTCTACTCTTAATTGTAGTAAATATGGACTAACATCTTTTTAAACTAGATGTGAAGAATGCCTTCTTAAATGGGGATCTCAAGGAGGAAGTCTATTGGGATATACCACCTGGTTTCGAGGACAAATTCACAAGCAACAAGATATGTAAATTGAGGAAATCTTTGTATGGTCTCAAAAAGTCTTCTCGAGCATGGTTTAACCGTTTCAAAAATGTTCTTAAAAATGATGGATATAATCAGTGTCAAGCTGATCACACTCTGTTTGTCAAGCATTTCCCAAGTGAAAAACTTGTTGCCCTTATTATGTCGATGACATTGTTTTCACTGGAAATCATGAAGAAGAGATAAATAGCCTAAAGAGACTTTTCTCAAGAGAGTTTGAAATTAAAGACTTGAGTCACTTGAAGTATTTTATGGGTATGGAACTTTTAAGATCAAACAAAGGTATATCAAGACTGGAATGATGGGATGCAAACCAGCAGATACTCTTATGGATCCAAATGTTAAGTTGGGAACACGGAAAGGTGGTCTACCGTGGATAAAGGAAGGTATGAATGACTTGTAGGCAAACTTATTAATCTAACCTATACGCGACCTGACATTGGATTCCCGGTTAGTGTGGTTATTCAATTCATCAACAATCCATCTAAAGAACATTTGGAAGTAGTTTACAGAATTATTAAGTATCTCAAGAGTGATCCTAGTAAGGGTTTATTTTTCGGAAAAATTGCTTCAAAAGCTCTTGATGTATATACAGATATTGATTGGGCTGGATTAATAACTGACAGAAGATCTACTTTTGGGTATTGTTCATTCGTATGGGGGAATCTTGTTATATGGTGCAGTAAGAAACAATTCGTTGTTGCGCACAACAGTGCCGAATTAGAATTTAGATCTCTAGCGCATGAAATTTCTGAGGGAATGTGGTTGAAAAGATTATTACAAGAATTAAGGTACCAGAATTAAGGATCAAGTTTGAGGGTCCTATTAACATAAAGAGTGATAGTCAGCTATTGCCATTGCGAAGAATCCAGTTCACTATGATAGGACCAAACACATACAGATTGCTAGACTGTATATGTGAACTACAGGAATGGAGTGAGGACTCGATTTTCATGTAATGGTTAATGATTCATTTTAACCCCCTAGGAAGAATATCTGGAATTAAATCAGCTTCTAATTTTTGGTTGACATGGGTTTTGCATATACTGAAGTCGCATCATCTTATTTGCACAATGTTATCAGCACATTTGGCATTTTACTCTTCTTTTAGATAATTTGGTAATATGTCATAAAGCACAATATATTATTATTATTATTATTATTATTATTATTATTATTATTATTATTATTTTGGATGGTCTTGTCTCAATTTCTCACTTGGATAATTCCATGTACTGACAAATGTGAATTTTGTCATGGTCAAGCAGAGAGGCTTCTTGATTCGGCTAGGGAAATGGAAGATTAAATTTCTGTTAACCTCAGGTTTGTTGCTATTATTAGGACCAAAGTATTGCTTTTGAACATTGTTGAGCCTATAAATGTGCAGTGAAGCACTTTTTTAAAGCAATGTGTTTGCCAGGGAATTATCTTATGAAACCCAACTGCATAAGAAAATGTATCCTAACAGTTTAAGTTTCTGATGGTGTTTAAGTGCTCTATGTCATTTCAGGTTATTCTATATCTATTTTAGCAATTTTTGAAGTGTTTATGGATGATGTTTTTCAAGCAATATATGTCATATTACATGACACATTTTCCAATGATGTTTGTTAGATTATTTTTATGTTTTCTATCATTTTGGGTTGTTATTCGACTGCAATGTACACAATTTGTTAAGTCTTTTTGGGTGATGTTTTTTCAAGCCATAGTTTTTGGATGTCTCTTTATGTTCAACAAACCTTAGTTTTCCGGCACTAGCCTATAAGATAAATCGCAAATTCTATATCAAATGACTCTAGGTCAATGGTAATTCCCAGAAACTAAGTTGTGTTTTTCCCATTAGACTTTATGTTTTTTAGGTTGAAACTTAGCTCCGCGCGTAGACAATAATTTTATCCGTAGCCTCATTCTTGGCATTACCATTATAAATTAACTGACAATAATTTCTCATACCAAGCCTCATTCTTGGAGGCTTGAACTTTTACTCCAGGTTGGGATATTCCGCATTGGAGTTGATGCTCTGATTTGGTACAAAACATGAAACCTTCTTTAGTTATCTCTACACTGAAATCTATATAATTGTCAAGGTGCCGAATTGAGGTTTCATACGGTAACAAAAAATCCATTCAAGTGTGTTGACAAGACTAATCCACAAAGTCTTTTCTTTGTTCTCGAATTGGTGCAATCCTATATTATAATTGCACAAAATATGACTTTTTCTTTTTAATTTTATTTTCCTCCTAACCAAAAAGGTGGCAAGGTTGTTGCGGCGCCATCGGACTGCTATATGGCATAGATGACACGGCGTCCGACATGACGACAATATGGCGATATGACGACCTATTTATTATAAATTTCTAAGATTTAATTATAAAATATAAAATTATAAGATCAAATCACTAAATTTATTTAAAGTTTAAATGAAATATCAACCAAAACATTAAATATAACCATCAAAATACTAAAATACCAATATATTAAAATAATAAAGTTTCAAAACACTATAAAAGTAATTAATGTCTAGAAAAGAAACCCTAATTTCTCAAATTTCACATCAATCTTTCAGTGTGCACATGATTATCATCATCATCTATTTCTTCATTCTCATTTACCAAACTTCTGTTAGAAGGGCCATGACGACAGTCATACACGATGGACGGGCCTGATGATTCACCAACACCTCTACTATAAAGGTTTGAATTATCAAGATGGCTTGAAGCACATACGGCTTCATCTACATAATGTCAATTAAGATTTCCGTTTTCATAAATCAAGTTTCGAGAATCATTAATCCATTCATTGTTTCATTGATCTTCTTCAAGAATTAAGGGAATAGAAGTGCTTTTTCTTTCCGCCACTTTTGAAAGCGATGTGCAATCGTTTAGTTTTTGGTGCTTTAGTCTATTTCTTTTCTTGTATGAATCTAACAAAAATTATATCAAAATTTGAAGATTATTTCTAAAATATTAATCTAAGTAAATTTTGTACAAATTAACTTACAAATTTAAATGTGCTATAATTGCATTCACAACTGACAGAAGAGTAGTAAAGACTAGTAGCCCTTACTGATTGAAGCTCGTCACCACTATGTGCATCCCACTAATCAACTAAATATATAGAATAATATATTTAATATTTGAAATTATGTTTATAAAAAATGAAAAAAAAATAATATATGTAACTTACAAGGACTTTTTCGCATTTGGTGCTTGATTGCTAATTGACAGCCAAAGTTTTTTCGCATTTTATCGTAATCATATGCTTGACTACTAATCTTATCCACCAACCCTTCATCTTTAACCATATGGTTAAACAATTGACGTTTCTTATGGACAAATACAGGATCACTTATCTTCAATTCAAAATATTGGAAGATTTAGGAATAGTATAGCCCCATATAACTTCATCTCTATTTGATTGTTCCATCGATCATCAATTATTTATATCTAACTTGGCCAATAACCTAATTTTGTTGTTGTTCGTAAAAGATTCAATTATTTTCTTCTTTGTGTGATTCATAGCTGAAGAAAGCTCGAGCATAGCCAGATTTCATCACCATCAACTATCCTCAAAATAATCAATAGAGGAAGTGTTTCCCAAAAACAATCTTCTACTTGATCCAAAAAATTGATGAAAGAATGACTTTCGCCACTGTTTGTCTTTTGATGTTCTTGACAGTTAATTATCGCTCCAATCATCACTCACAAATAGCTACCTCAATTTATTCTTATGTGCGGTAGCATACCGAGTAGCCATCGGCCTCGTAAAATCTCTGCCACCGGCCATTTCTCTCATTGTACTTAGAAGTCTCCATGTCGATAAATAAAAGTGGTGACATCCATAGCCCTTTCGAATGTAGGATTTAAATTCATTCATTTTTTCAACATTTTTAAGCATGAGACTGATGCAATATGTTGCACAAGATGTCCAAAACAGATCAGAAATGCATTGTTCCAATAGTCTTCTCACCACCTTATAATTTGCCCAATTATTAGTCACATTTCACATAACATATTTCTTGCCAATTTCTTCAATTTTTTTCTAAGTAGGTCTGTCAATATTCTTGCATCATATGACTTAACTTATGCATCACTAGACTCTAATAAAAAAGTTCCCTATGGACTATAAAGAATAAAATTTATCAAGTGACATCCTCTTTTGTCTGTCCACATATCTGACATAAGGGACCACCCATAAAACTTCCAAGCTTTCATGTTATTTTCTTTCACCTTCTTTGTTTCATTTACGGCATCCTTAAGAAATGGTTCCCGCAACTCATGGTAACTACTAGGTTTTAAACTGGAACCATATTATCCGATAGCCTCAATCATAATCTCATAAATTCTTGATTCGAAAGTATTGAATAGAATGCCATTTTGTAGAAAAATGGGCAACACGCTTTTTCACTTCTCTCGTTTCTTCTTTTTCTTTTGTAGAAGCTTCGATGATTTTATGAACACTCTCCTATATGTCTTTCTTCAACAACCTCTTCAGGAGTCTTTCAAATTATTGCAGCAATTGACTTACATTGTTTTCCAACTCTCAAAGGTTTAGAAAACTTCAGAGTTGATTGTACCAACTTTCTTTGTTGCATGTTCCTGAACTTGGATGTACAAAAGGCTCGGATGATGAATTCGTAGCACCCATAGATTGATTTTCTTCTAACTTCTCATTGTTTTTAGAATTCGTAAAATAATGAAATTTAGTAGTACCCCAGTAAAGCTTTATTCATCATTTTTTTGCTCATAAATTGATATATTTCTTTACGAATTTTTTGGTAGTGTTAAGGCACTTACAACATCATCATTGCTAACTAAATGTTGCTTTAACCTTTTGATCCAAAATGCATTTATCTATGACAAATATCGCATTCAATTAAATATTTTTTTATTCTAATCCAGCCAAAAAATCGATACTTCCATTATGGATCATTATGATTTGGACTTTCTTTTCCTTTGATAAGTCTTGGACATTTTTGTTATTGGCTATTAAATTATAATTAATACAAAAAAAAGATAAACTAAAATGCATAAGTAACAAGTCAATCATTAAAATATGAATAGGTTTAATAAAAAAACTAACATACTTAAAACTAAAATAAATAATTTAAATTAGAAATATAAAATACATAAAAAAAAAAAACTGTCTTGTCTAAAATCTACCATATCTGACCCGCCATCATCCACCGTATATAATATAATATACTATCAAGACAAACATAAAGTAGCTCTGTATGGAGCACTTATCCATACAAATATTTAAATATATATAATTTCCTACAAGTACAACACAACTAATATATTATATATATATATTACTGTTGCACTATGCATTAAGTAATACTCTCTTTCGTCCCATTAAAATTGTTTACGTTATTGTAGATACTCGAATTTATTAAGAAGTACAGTTAGTAAATAATTGAAGAATGTATTAGTAAAAATAATTATTATATAATACAAATAATCATTTAATTATTTAATTAATATTAAAAAATTATAAATTATGAAATTTAAAATTTAATTAAAATGTATAATATTTTCTAAAAAAAAAAAGAAAAAATTACGCGAGACAAATAAAAATAAAAAATATGGACATTTTTTTGGAACGAAAACAGTAAATAATAATACAACTTAATAGTAGTGCAATGTAGCAGTACATAAGTAATAGTAAACAATCCTGTACTAGTATATATATAATATACCTAACCTACACAATACACATTAATCATTACATTCTACATAAAGAGTTCTTACCTGATGCGCCAACGACAAGGCTAGCAATGATGGAAGACGGAAGATGGAAGCGAAGTGACCGTGGATGATGGCAAGTGGGTGAGACTTAAGCGAGACTAATCTTATATAGAGGTAAGGTAAGACAATCTTTATCATCAAACCATATTTTAACTTTTGTCATTACTTCATTAGATAATATATATATAAAGATATTAAATTTTAAATATTAATTTTAATAAATCGGGTCAGGCCAGACACAATTTGAACTTTATGGGTCCGGGCATGACCCGGTTCATTGGTGTGCCAAGCCAAGCACGACCTAAAAAATTTCGGACCTATTTTGGAGGCCTAAGTACGATTTTTTCGTGCCGAGTTTGGATTGAATTTTCGGGCCGTGCATATTTTTGCCAGTTCTAATTTTGCCGGTGATGATACATCTAGGTGACACCAAGATGACAGCTGTGACAAATTGAATAGTGGTAAGAAGAATTCTAAAACTACAAATTCCATAAAATTTAGTTAAAATTCTTTGAATGGATGAAATATTTTCGTGATAGCATTTGATAAGCTCCATATGGAGTGTGAAGTGAATGCACTATCTATAAGCATTCTAGATTCAAATATAGTGTTTCAATGTTGACGAAAAATTGGTTAAAAAAAGTTCATACATGGAATCTTGGCAGGTATATTTGGCATGAACTTGAAGTTGCATCTTGAGGAACATGTGGTAATATCATCCTTGGTCTTCCATTATTTAAATTCTTATTACCACTCTCTATGCTAAATAAAAATATTTATGTAGTTATGCATTTTGGTTAATAATTGCTGAAATTTTCGTTGGTACCATGG